TACCCACACCCACACCCACACCCACACCCACACCCACACCCACACCCACACCCACACCCACACCCTCCACCCATACCATTCCACAACCATCCACACTACCCCACTCCACCCAGACCACCTCATAGCCTCACCCACATCATCCCACGCCCACTTACATCCACACTACCCTACACTCACCCACACCACATCCACACCGACCGGCACCACCCCGCCTCCACACCATCCGACACCCGCCAACACCAGTCCACATCCACAGTCGCCCACGGCACTCCACACTCACCCATACCACTCCATACACACCCAAACCACTCCACTTCCATACCCACCCACTCACTCCACGCCCAAATCCACACTCAACCACACGGCTCCGCACACACACAACTCCATATTTATATCCATACGCACCCACATCATTCCGCATCCACATCCATTCACACCGCCCGCACACCACACCACTCCCATCCACACCACCTGCACACCACACCACCCACAACCCTCCATAGCCACACCACTAACACCTGCACCACTCTAGACCCACGCCACCCCATACCCACATTACTCCTGACCCACACCGTTTACACCAGTCCACATCCATACCACCTCATACCCACACCACCCCATACCCAAACCCACACTCCACACCACACCCACACACCCACACCAACACCCACACCCTACATCCACTCACACCCACACTTACCCACACCCCCACATCCACCTACACCCACACTTACCCACACCCACCCTTGCCCATACCCACACTCCACACCTACACCCCACACCCACCCCTCACACTCACATCCACACGCACACCCCAAACCCGCACCCACATCCATACAGCCACACTCACAGCCACACCCATATTTATATCACTCCACATCCAGTTACGGCATTCCGCACCGATGGCCGGGGGACGGGGGAGGAGACGGTTTCTAAAATTAGTAAAAATATTGATGACGTAGCATATGAATAGTTTTTTATCATGTCATCATGTATTAGTAAGTATAGAAATATTAACAAAATATTCTATTCGATTGCGAAGTTTCTTATAATACCTTGTTGTATTTTTTATATTTAATGCAGATATAAAACATGTTGGTCATGATAGTGATAAAATAAATTTAAATCAAATTATTAATCATAGTCGAGTTGATCGAAATGTATTTGAACTAAGACTTCGTTATGTAAAACAAAGAATCAGGTATGTATTTTAATAAATAATTTTGTAAATATTTATTTTATTTTATTTTTTTGTTTTAGTTATTTAAATAAAAAACCTGATGTTGATGTTGATTTTGATGGTGCTACTCAGTATTTATTGATCAATTTTGTTTTTATGAAGAACCAAAATATGTATATCGTTTATGTATGTTTAAAGATCCTAAACAAACTTCAATTGTTGGTGATACTACAATAATAATTCGATATTGGATACCATGGACTGGCCCAACAAATAATAAATATTTGCAAATGAAATATTCAAATGCTGATACATGTTGGAATGGTCTAGCCCGATCATTTATAGTTACATTTGAATGTGGAATTGAACATCAAATTGTTAATATACATGAACCAAATCGATATCAATATACAATAACATTCAAAACAACATTAGTATGTACTAAAGCTAGTACTGAAGAATTACTTGATACACATGATGAACTTTAATTTTATTTTGGCCGTGATCAATGTCATGCTTATCTTAAACTTTTGTTATTATTATTTTTTTATTTTTTTTTGTTAAATAAAATGTCATGTTGTTGATGATGGCTAAAGTGAAAAATATATGCACTTAAACTATAGTTAACACACATAAAATCTTAGCAGTAATTACAACTTTCTATATTAATAATGATTGTAATAAACTATGCAATTCTACCGATTTTTACTTAGTTTCATAAAAGTTTTATCGATTTTCAGCATAGAGAGAGCCTATCAATTCTGAAAGACCTTTAAATCTGCAATTTCTTTTTTTCTTTCTGCAATAATATCATTCAATAATGCTAAAAGCATAAGAAAAAGAGAGAAATATAAGATTGTAAGATTTATAATCAGTATAAACATTCAGCTCGTAAATATATCAACTTCCTAGTCAACAGATTAAAGAATATCTTTCCTTTTTCATTCATAATTTTATTTACTAATTAAAATAGTCATAGTGACAATACATAAAAGTAAAACGGACAAAGATTTGTTTTTTGAAATCTGACAAGATCTCATAATTATATTCAAGTATCTTACAGACAACAATGTAATTTATTTGAAAAAAAAAACTTCGATGACAATGTTAATTTTTCATATAATCCAATTCAAGAACAAATACATAATATAATCTAACAATAAAAAAGTATACTCTGATTTACATTTTGTTTTTCACATACATCAATTTGATGTATTTTCTTTCAGTTGGAATGATTTTTGTACAATGTAATGCTATGCGAGAATTTAACATGAGAAGAGTAAAATTTGAAAAGCAAAACAAAATATTTGCAGGATTATAAATGAAAAAGAAAAAAAAATAACTAGTCAGAATTTGTTGTTTCTCTTTGATCGATTTTAATGATAAATTCAATAGTCAAATCTGTTTGATTACTCAGTTGAACTACATAATTTATCATTGAACAATTTTCATCTTGACATAGCATTACTTCATATTTAAGTCGAACTATCTGTTTATCACGTGGAATATAATCTGAAAGTATTTAATTGAATGTACAACGTGTTATTTCACCATCACATATTTTAAAACCATCTATCAATATATATTATATATTAGATTTAATAATAAAAATTAATTTTATTATTCTACCTTCATCATTAATAATCTATGTATCAACATTACCTTCATGTAATTGAAGTTCATCAATTAGAAGAATAGTTAAATAAGCTTGTTTTCAACTTAATGAACGTTTTTTATTCAATGTTTCATTTAAATCAAATCGATACTAGAAATGAAAAAAGAAATAGATTTATTTTAATTATACAAAAATATTTGAGATATTTTACTAAATCAATTGAGAATAGTCAATTTAATAATTAAATATAAACTCATAATATTATTGAAATCTAAGTCACGATTAAATCTTCATTCATGAACAATACTATTGATTATAACACTATAAAAAGAATCATCTCAATTTAGGTAAGACTAGCAAAAGTTCAAAAAGGGTTTTTTACCATTGATCTTTGTTGTCGAGTTATGATCGGTTTATTGAATTTTCAATTTATTTATCCTGACATTGCCAGTCGAAAAAAAATGTTCTTTTGTCAAGATATTGAATTTTTAACAACAACTGTTTATCACATAAATTGTATTCACTTGAAAATCCAATAACTTAACGAAGGAACATTATTTTCATTTGAAACTTTCAGGATATTTTAAGAGTCATTAAATCTATCTATAGACAAAATTTTGGATGAAAACTTCGTTATTCGATCTTTTGAGGAGTACCCAACAATGAATCAAAAACTAAGGAAATCGGTTATACTATTTCAGGCAACAGTCATTAAATGTGTTCGATCAAAGCTGTTTCAAGACCATCATTCAGCTAGTTAAAACGAAAAAATAAAAAAAAAAAGTTTTTCCAATAAATGTTTGCATATTCACAAATCTATACAGAGTTCTCTGTAAAAAAAACAAAAACTTTCCAGTATAGCGCATTTGATGCTAAAAAGTGGAATTCACATGTATTCTTTAGCATCATTATACTATTACAAAATATATCAAATGAAAAATCTCTAATAGATTATATTTCTTTTCTATGGATTTGCTTTATTTTATTTCTGTTACTATTTGCTCGTTGCTTTTCTTAATTTAATGTTACTATTATTCTAATTATTGATTTAACTAACAAATAAGTCTGTTGTATATATCTATTATATCTACAGCATGTCAGAACTCAGTAAATTGAGAAACATTGATATTGATCAGTTTTTCGAAACTTCTAACTTGATTAATTAATTCTTTTTCTGTTGATCATATAACAATTGTAGTAAATCAATACATTATTACGCATCATTCTTGATATCTTGAGCATTAAAGTGAAGAAGAAGAAGAAGAAGAATACCTCTGCCTTTCGGCTACCTTGCAGTGTGGGGTGCTGTCCAAGGACAGTTTCGATAGCCCGATGTTTTTCCTACATCTATTGCTAGATATAGTTCTGGTCAGAAGGCCAGCCTGACGCAAAGTTCTTCTCGCTTAACGCTCCCCACCACCCTGACTTACCACATATTAGTCATAATGACTATAAGTGTATGTCGACTATGTAGTCAGTTTGTTATCGTATGGGTGGTCCGAGACAATTAACCGTTAGTCGGCGAAGTCATTAAAACTCCTGAGTTAATGTGCGAAGTGGCTGCAGACTATTATGAAGATTTCTTTAAAGCTCCTGGTAATATCCACCACCCTCACCCATACACAAATGCTCCCGAAGTAAAATGGGAAAACTTCGATGAGAAAATTCCACCTACATTGGTCGACGAAATTATCGATATAGTATACTGCTGCAAGAAAAAAAATCCTGCGATGCCCACGGCCTCTCAAGTGCTATTTTGAATTCATTACCAACGTCATATTGGTCACTACTTGCTAAGATATATAATCTATCATTCTCAGCCGGAGTCTTTCCCCAACAATGGAAAGATACTCGTATCCTTCTTTTAGCAAAAAACGAGTCCATATGTAATCCTTCCAACACACGCCCAATCTCACTTCTAGATGTTTTTCTTAAAATCAACGAGAAACTCTTTCTGGCTCGGTTTTCTGACGTAGCGAAACGTCGTGGCATTCTACCTGATACGCAATCGGGGTTTCGAGCCGAATTTAGACTTCAGACACGTGTGTTCTTATTCTTCGAACAAGTAGCAAGCTTAATGGCGAATAGTTCACCTGTTGCGACTCTCTTCGTAGACTTCAAATCAGCGTTTGACCAACTTTGGCGAGAAGGCTGCATAGGTAAGCTAAATCGTATGGGTCTACCAAACGCCTATCTTCGCTGGATCGATACGTGGTTACAAGGACGCAGAGCCTACATCGAAATCGCAGGCCACAAATCCCGCTGGTTCAACATATCAAAAGGTTGCCCTCAAGGGTCCATCTTCTCTCCTACATTATTCATCACCTACCACGCAGACATGGGTGACTTTCTCGGCCCATGCCTCTGTCATTTTTTTGCTGACGACCTAGCTGCTATTCTTGCTGGTGGTATAGGAATGAAATACTCTGCTCAATGCCTGGATCTTGAAAAGCGAATGCGGTTGTTCCTGGATAATCTGGAATTCTACTCTATCCTAACCGTTCAACCTATCAACTTTACAAAAACGGAAGCTCTCTGGTCGGCTAGAGCAATCGGACCTCCTAAATTTGATATTTTTGCTGGTGACAATAAAATACGATGGGTGAAAGAATTTAAATATCTAGGTTACTGGATAACTGCAAAATTAGGCTTTGGTACTCTTATTAATAAATCTATGTTAAAAATCAGGCAGCGCATAGGTATGATAAAATCAATCCGTATTTCTGGGTCTACTTCTCCGGCCCTAAGAAAAGCACTTTTTCTCTCTTATGTTCTCCCATTATTTACTTGGCTCTTCCCTTTCTATCCTCTTTTTACGGTCCCCCAACAACGAGACCTTAACCACTTTTATTATACCTGTCTAAAAAAAATACTCTACTCTCAACATTGGTGTGACAATCTCTTCTCCTACCTTTTCAATGAAATATCCCTTGAGGATCGCTGTCTCACATACTGGAATAAATATCTAACTATGCTATCTGACTCTACAGATGGCAACCTACTCCTCGAACAAGCAAATCTAAATGTTCATAGAGATGCGTGGCTTAACAAGGAAATCTCAATTTGTAGACTTTTTAGATCGAAAAGATTCATTAAGCATAGTAGTATTCTAGAAAAATGCTTAAACTGGTGCGCAAGTAACACCACCAACACATCTATCCCCAACTATAACCTTGAAGAAATATCGGCATTATGTGACTTCTCAGATACCTTCATGTAAGATTTTCTTCTCCCTTACTGTACAATTACTAGATTTCTTTCGTCGTTTCATCTACATTCATTTTTATGTTTTGTTTTTTACTCACGTCCTTTTCTTTCTTGTGCTTCCTGACCCCTTTTCTGTTTTTTCTTTCTTTATCTTATCTCGTTTACTCTAATTCACTTACTTTCGTTTTTAACATTAGCGATTCCAACCACATAGGACAAAGAAACATAATTATAATATAAAGAAACCTTTTCTTTTAATTCTTCTTATTTGCTTCTTTGTATTCGAGCATTACTTTCTATTAATCGATTAATACATTCTTAACTAAAAAAACAAAAATAAAAAATTAAGAAAAACATGATTGATAGATCTATATTACTACCTGTCTCCTTTTCTTCTTTATTCTTCACGTTCACTCAACCATCTTATTACGCTCCTTCCCAGTTCGTTGTCATCTTCTTATATTGTTATACGTTTATGTTATATTACGTCTTTCTCTCTATCCGCCTGCTTAATCGACATGTCCCTCTCTCGTTACTTTTCATTGGCGTGATCTTAATTGTATTCATATCCTCCACCATATGCACGTGATCTTTGTCTCTCTGCTCCCACTTCTTTTCTCTTCCTTACGGATTTATACATTATCTTCCAATTTCTTTATTTACTTA